CACCCGAAGGCGTCGGGGAGTGAGTTGATTTTTCAGGTCACCTATTGAGGGTGCATCTTCATCTGGTGCGCCTAATCGCAGTCTTTTTGCTGCAGAGAGCTGGTGGCGAAAAAGATAGGTGGACTGGAACGACCACTTCTAGCTTGTTAACCATCGTCAGCCAGACGTATTCACCTACAGGTTTGGACGACCTGGGGTTCGGACTGGGATTCTTCACCGGTCATTAAATGCTAAGCAGTCCAACGATTTATCATGAACCCCTTGTCCTATCGATTGTGATTGGGAATGCTCACTATCATTGGGAGGACGTTCAACAGTAGGATACCTTTGTTGGGGAAAGGGAGGAGGGAATGACGTCATTACTGATTTTCATTATTCGTTACTTCCATCCCCTGAAACTCGGCCCGCATAACGCAAGCACCATTTCTGGGAGAAGGTGCCTCATTGCAGCCTTTTTTCCGCAGAGATGTAGTGCCGTCTAAGGCAAGGGAGATTGGGATGTCCATTTCTAACTCGGTAGCCGTCGTCAGCCAGCCTTGCTGAATGGAGATGGCGAGTTTATTTGCCTCCTATCACACCAACTATCCTCTTTCTTACTTTCCCTTGCTCTTTTTTCCGCTCTTTTCTCTGCATTCGTCTTCTTCTTCTTGGTTCCAGACACATCTCCCATCCCATCCTTATTCTCCTTCTTCTTTCTTGAAATAACAGTCTTCCTAAAAGTAAGGGCATATTCCCAGCTTACCTCGTTAGTTCAAACGTAAATGAACATGTTTACTGCGAGAAATTTAGTCATTTTTCAGATTCGCCAGCAGCCCAGAACTCATGAGGGCGTGAGTTTTTGGTGTCACTCCAGGCCAGTCGGTCGGTGGAACATTAACTCGAATTTCTAAATAGGCATAGATGATCGCCAGGAGAGGTTTATTTCCTGTCTGACCTCACAACCGACCATATTCGGGGACTGTGAATTCCCGTGGAGTGCTCTTCTTATGTGACGCATCATGTCTAATGCTAAACTGCTATAAGATACGTCGTGCCCCAAGGGAACCTCTCCCAGTGAAAGTCCCTTCTTTTAACATGTCATCTGGGAACCGCATGTTCACATAAATCTTTTGCCGTGTTTTCAAGTGATGGGAGATTCAAAGAATGTCGTTGCAGCGTTGATCGACGTTTAAAATCATTCCAAGTTAATTCGGATACTGAGGGGACCACCGATAAGGAAAAGGGAGAGCGGTATGACCGTTTCTGGCCCGTTAGCCGTCATCAGCCAGCGTTTGCCCCAACAGAGCCCCAAATCCACGTTGTTTGTTCCGACGCTGTACCAACTGAGCCACGGGAGCGTTGTGCTGTCGGTTGTGATTGGGAAGACTAACTTATTCTGGAAGCGCGTTCACCGATCGGGTTAGGAGACATTCTCGCCCTGTTGGGCGTTGGAGCTCAATATAGAGCCCTAGCAGCCAGTCGTACAGCAATTAGCAATATATGGAGGATAGTGTCGACAAATACAAGAGGGAGGGGGACGTGAATGACTACTTCTTGACTGTCGTCAAGCAGTCAAATCTACCCACAGGTTCATAGGAAGGGCGCTCAATACGGGGGCACTTTATTTAAGGAAGAGAGATGTTGTAATTACTGATTCCTGCTATTCGTTACGCTGCCCAACAGTGCCATTTCCGGGAGAAGGCTCTTATCCTACTCTAGATTTGAGAGGCCTAAACCCATGCAATAAACGAAGTCATAGATGCTCAGGGACACAAAAATACGTTTTATTTTTAGGCTTGACCTCCCACAGAATAGAGCACGCTTTTTGGTGATACGGCTCTGCGCCTCCCAGCTCCAGATAGCTTTCGCGAGGTTTCTCTTCATTTAATCGGTTGCTCAGAGTGGAAGGTTCGGAAGTTGGCTTTCAAAATGATTGAGTGGAGTGCTGTTGCGCGCTTCCGAGGTTGGTCTTGTCGTCCCACGGGATCTATAGAAGGCGTGCCACCCTGAAATGGTCAGAAAGAAAAGAGTATATTTACAGGCTCATTCAAGTGCTGGAATTTTACTCAAAATTTAGCCTTTTAAAGATGCCTGGGTTCATAACATAACGCATAAAATTTTATCTAAAGATTCTGGACATTTGCTCGCAGCCGAGCGCTTAATTGCGCCGTGTCTGCACCTCAGGCAGGATTCGCGGATCGAGTCTACTGCATAATGCAAGCCATTCATAGAAGGATCAGAGTTCTGAGAGAAGAATCAGCCAAGTCAGCTGCACGATGTAGGTTAGAAACCCCAAAGAAATCAGGCCTTTTGAAATTACGACAAGTACTGTAGTTTTTATCGGACTCCCACAGACTTAAAGTATTTTATTCTCAAGCGGAATAATAGAGAGACAAGACAAGATAAAAATAAAATGAGAAAAGAGAAAAACGTGAATATAAAGTGGGGGTGCTAGGTCGTCAGGGGCACATAAAACACATAGTGAAACGTTCTAGCCGTTAAAATGTCGAATAAAAAGCAGGAGTGGATGGGGGAGCAGGGGGGAGGGGAAGGAGGAGGAGGAGGAGGAGGAGGAGGAGGAGGAGGAAATACAACTTTCGACGTGTGTTGTAGACTGATGAAAGACTCGTTTGACCAAAAAAGAATTGCGCAGCCAATCAGGCCTTCTGCCTTGTACTCACAACTAACCAGGTAGCACCATTGGAATGTCACTGAATGACATGGACAACGATGGCAGCCGACGCCGTCTATTTCTGCGGCTCCAATAGTGAATAGGTTGGGAATCCCAGGTATTCCAAGCTTGACCTACGCCTACAATAGACAGGCCGGATGGAGGCATCCCAATCCCCTTTGCTTACTGATTGCTTACAGCTTAGCCACCACCTGGGAGGATGTGGACCCAACTCAGACTTGCATCGCGCCCGGTACACTCGCTCTTCACACACCCATCTTTTGCCGAGGCTAAATAAAGTCAACGCGACCGCAGGTGGTCACCGAAGCAATGACTGGCAAACCAAAGAACTCGTCTGCTCCTGCCACAGACGATCTCACACATAACTCCCCAAATATATAGGATATAATTTGGGAAGTCTTTCATCTCACGCAAGCCAGAGTGCTCCAGGGTCACAGAAGAATGGAGGCAGTGCAAATCTACACGTCCTCTAGAGGAGGATGGATTAATCTCATCGACTGATAACTTTCTAAACCACGACTTTTAGTGCGTTTGATTGTTTATAGTGAGGGATTAAACAGTGGATCTGGTCTGGATTTCTCTCTCTCTGCCCTCTTTCATGCGCCGGTGGCTTGTTTTAGTCAGACTGACTGATTATGAACTTGGCGCCATGGTTGGCTTGCCGCAAAGTTGCCGTTTATAGCAGATTCAGGTCTCAAAAAAGTGAGAAATACCGTCTAGGCAGATGCAGTCTGACAGTCGTTCAAAAGGAGGACCATGTCAGTTGGCAGCCTTTCAAGCCATGACATCTGCACCTTGTGATAGGTCCAAGTGCGCCCGATTTCTGATGGTGAGGAGTGCGCTCATTTATCACGACAATGGATTCTTCCCCGGTATTTACCTCA